AAGGTGAATGAACAGATCAGAGGCCCAGTGTTAGTTGTCAGTGGACCCTGGATGTCTGCAAGCTGGTTCACCAAAGAGATGCTTGGAAATTACCTATTTTTGTTATGTATCTGTATGGTGTGTGTTATGCGTACAGGTATGTGCATGCTATGGCATGTAGGGAATCATTTCTCCCAGTCACCATGATTTCTGGGAAGGTAATTCAGGTCACCATGTTTATGTGGTAGACACTTTTCCCCGCTGAGTCATCTCACCTGCCCATAAATGAATGCTCTTAAAGACCACGCTTATGAAAAGGACAAGGAAGACAGCTTCACTGGCACACTGTTGTGGGATATTTAACCATGTAAAGATGCGTTGCATTTGTCTATGCTGCAGAATGTTGTTTTAACTATGTGAAGGTGTGTTACGTTTGTTTCTGCTGCCTTTGTTAGTGATGTAAAGATGCGTTATTTGTTTCGCCTTGCCTGCCCAAGGCACCTGATCGATCTAATAAAAACCTGAATGGCCAATAACTAGACAGGAGAGGGATAGGTGGGGCTGGCAGGCAGAGAGAATAAGTAGGAGGAGAAATTTAGGCAGAAGAAAGAAGAATGAGAGAAGGGAACAAGGGAGAGAGAGAGGGACATGCCCAGAAGCCAGGCAGAAGCCAGGCAGCCTCTAGCTGGCCAGCCATGGAGACAGCAGAAAAGTAAGATATACAGAAAAAGAGAGAGAGAGAGAGAGAGAGAGAGAGAGAGAGAGAGAGAGAGAGAGAGAGAGAGAGAAAGAAAGTCCCAAGGCAAAATGTGGATTAAGAGAAACAGATTAAAATAAGAGCTAAGATAACGCCAATCATTCATAACTAATAACAAGTCTCCATTTCATGATTTGGGAGCTGGTTGGTGGCCCAAAAGAAGGCCTGCTGCAGCTCAACACCTTGAAGGGACACAGTATCATCCATTGTGAGGAGCAGCACTTGCCCGTTAGAGGCCTCTTCCCAATGCTGAGTTTGCATGGAGCCTGCACGACTTTCTAGATTTAACAGTGAAGACCTCGGAATGGGGAGAACCAGCTCTGCTAATATTCCAAAAGCCTTGGCAACTGGGGAGCTCTTTTAAGCCCTAAAACAGTGTGATACATCAACAAGGAATGTTCTTTTCTATCTTGACCAGAAGGTTTAAGTCATCTACAGGTGTGTGTGTGTGTGTGTGTGTGTGTGTGTGTGTGTGTGTGTGTGTGCGTGCGTGCGTGTGTGTGTGTGTGTGTGTGTGCATACAATGCATAGATGGGTCTAAGACTCTGAGCATATTCACACTGTGTAT